CGTTTGCAGTCAGAGTGTGCGGCGTATGGAATTCTCTTCCATCTGATGTACTGTGTGCTCCTACAGTTGAAATATTTGAATCGCAACTTGATAAAGCATTGGAACACTTAAAATTTCAACATCCGTGAGTGATCACNGATCACGCACATTATTATCATTGTTATTTACTCTTTGTCAAGTTATTTAAAAGATTCTATAAAAATCCTATGGGGCATGATAAGCTTTAGCTTTGTTAAATCGCCCATAATAAAACTTTGACTTTGACTTCATACTGTTTCAAGCATTCTGACCTGATAAGAAATGACAATAAGAACGCCACTGCTGTCGGTTCGCTGCCATTTCCTTCAATATCTCCAACCAACCAATTGCAGAGTCTTTCTGACCACAGCCTGGAAGGTACGAGACACCTACAATACCCAATGGCTCCGTGTAGTTCTTCATGCATCGTCTCCACGTCATCTGTTGACCTCCACGTTGTTTCCTCCTTCTCGGAGCAGCTACACTGAATAACGCGCGGTGCGGCAGACGATGGCTGGGCATACACAATGTGTCCTAGCCAGCGAATTCAATGAGCTAACAATGTTATCCCTGGTAAACTCTCAAACACACAACGGCTTACCTTCATCCGGCATGGGTTAAATTAAGTAAACATCGACAATCGAAAATTTATAATCGATAAATTTCTTTTACTTGCAAATTAAAAGTCTGACAAACATAAAGCCAAACTGAACGATCGGTAGCACAATATAAACGACCTTTCAACTTCAGTGAAACGTCGCGTCGTCGCCAAGTGTACTTCAGTCCCGCATACGCCGCTGGGGCCTTGGAAATGCGGGCAGTTATTTACTTTACTGCGTTTCCGTCATTAGTCGCACATCTACCTAAGTAGGAAAGGCAATCCATCATAACTAATTCCTGGTCATTTATTTGCAAAGGGGGACTAAGAGACCCAGCCTGGCAGCATCACTTGGCACTTCGAAGGTGTAAACCACATACGGAATGTGGTACCGGTACTTAGTGTTCTATCAAGTGCGCTTTGTGCGTCCTCCATACAAGCATACAGGTAAAGTTCGTTGAGGAGTGCACCGTTCGTCTAAGCCGATCCTATTGTTCTTCTACACCACCGCACCGAAGCGCGCTTAGCTCGTGCCCTCGTTCAGATCCACAGCGTGTACGAACAGCTGAGTCAGATAGGTGATGATGTGCTAACCGGATTCGCTATTTTTCGGCGACAAATGAGTCGGAGCGTAAATTGCATCAAAACCTATTCGTGTCCAGACTCAACGCAGGCAGTTCAATAAAACCTGCAGATTTGTACTACCACACACGGTAGCTTACTGCTAGGTGGCCGATATGAGTGAACATACTAGTTGAATTAGAGCACCACGCCGCTGTCCGCTGAGATCTGTGTCGGAAGTTGGTACTGGATAGAAACAGATGGTGGTCTGCGCAGAACTGAAAAATTTGGTCGTCCTTATCTGTTCGCCGGCAGGGTAGATCACAATGACCGCCTAGGAAAGCTTCCTATGCGCTCAGTTTTCAAACCTGTGCGTTAAAATCACCCGCGAGCACAACCACAGTTGCTCAACCCAGTGAGTTCAGTAAGCTTATCATAGAACTCGTTATTTTTGTGCCAGAACTGCAGTTGGTTGGTGCATTTGCTGAAATGATGAACAAACACCTTTAGGTGTTGGCTCCCTTTCGAACGCTGATGGACCCTTGGAGCAGCATCACGCATAAGCGACTGCTGACGTGGATACAATCGATTGACACCTCGGCTGTATTATTGAGTGCAATGACTACGCTACGCTGGCCTACCGAACGGGCATCGTCGCCACTTGATGTGCGGAGGTAATACCCCGAAGACAAATCCATTG